GCTGCAGCAGTGGGAGACGAAAAAGGAGGAGGGGAAAGGGAAGGGGAGCACCCACACCTCGCACCCCCATGCTCGCCACCCCACACCCCCACCACCGCGGAACGCACGGCGGAATGGGAGCAATGGGCAGCACGGGGGGGGGGGGGGGGGGGGGGGGGGGGGGGGGGGGGGGGGACGGGACGGGCTTCTGCAGGGGCGGCTCGCGCGGGTCCTGGGGCGACTGCTGCAGGCACGGGCTGCTCCAGGGGCTGCTGCTGCAGGTGCAGGCTGCTCCAGGGGCGGCTGCTGCAGTGGCGGGCGGCTCCAGGGGCGGCCGCTGCAGGTGAAAGGTAGGAGGGAGGGGGGGGGGGGGGGAGGAGCGCGGCCCCCAGGGCGCCCCAACGGGCGACGAGAAAGGGAGCCGCGCGGCCCCCCAGGGCCGCCGCGACGGGCGACGGGAAGGGCGCCGCGCGGGCCCCCAGAGCCGCCGCGACGGGCGACGGGAGGGGACCGCGTGCGGGCCCCCGTGGGCGCCACGACGGGCGACGGGAGGGGAGGCCGCGCGGGCCCCCGAGTGCGCCTCGACGGGCGACGGGAGGGGACCGCGCGCGGGCCCCCGTGGTCGCCACGACGGGCGACGGGAGGGGAGGCCGCACGGGCCCCCGAGAGCGCCACGACGGGCGACGGGAGGGGAGGCCGCACGGGCCCCCGAGAGCGCCTCGACGGGCGACGGGAGGGGACCGCGCATGCCCCCCAAGGGCACCACGACGGGCGCCACGGAAGGGTAAACCGCCACGCGCCTCGAGCGCGCGGCGGGCAGAAATTAGGGTTTCTGCGCCGCGCACCACGGGGCGCGCGGCGGACAGTACGGCAGCGGAAGCAGGTGGTGGGCCCATACAGGAAGGCGGCAGACACATGCCGCCCTCTGATACCATGTCAAATATACTAGCAGTAGGACCTAGGCTTAGTAGCCTAGGCCACAGTAGGACTACAAAGGAGGCGCCAAGGTACGAGCGAGAGTTGAACAGAAGCAAGAATTGAGAAAAGGATGTTTGGACTAGCAAGCAGCAGGATACAAATAGCAAACCCTAAGGGGCTGTACTCACTATTGAGTACCCCACTGCAGGCTACACAAATAACATACTCTGACACTTGAAGTGCGTCCAATGTCTTCTCTTGTCCAGGTGCAGGCTGCGGGTGTGGCATAAAGCTAATGGAGCCACGCTGGGGCTCGTACGGAGCGAAGGTAGGCTGCTGCTGTTGATTTCCGCGCGCGTAAGACGAGCCATCGAGACTCATGGGTGTTACGTCGTTGTTGTTGTTGCTGTTGTTTGACTGCGCAGGTACCCCTTGCTGGTGTTGTTCGTAGAAGGACATGAAGGAGAAGAACTTCTCCATCATGCTTGGGTCGAAGCCCGCGGCTTGGTTTGCGCGAGTTTCGGTAGATGTTGCCCTTGGTCTTGTTGCCGTACCCTCCTCTGTCTGTAAGCCAGAGGCAGGAGGTGGAGTAGGAGTAGTACCGGGAGAGCCGTTAGAGGAGCTTCTCTCCTTCTGCGTTGCCATGCCTTGTAACGTTGTGGGTGTCTTGATTGTAGTTGAATTTGTCCTGATTGCTCTCATACCATGTTGGGCTGAGAAAAAGCCCTTAGGATCTTTGCAGGACTAAATTCCTGGTAGGACTGATGTAATAGCGGAAGCGTTTAATGAAGAGTTGTGAACCACCTTGCGCTGGTATGTGAGGGAAAAGTAGATTGATTAAAACAAAGAGATACAAGCTTTTATAAGAGTACAAGGGAATATGAACAGTTACAACTAATACTGTTTTGCTGTTGCTGTTGCGGTTCGATACAGTGACGACTCGGGCAACTGCTCAATAGCGAGTCAGTTGTTTGTCCTTGCTGTCGTGCTGTACTTGTCAGGTCAAAGGTCGCTGACCTTTGACTTTCGCGTAACCTCCAGCAGTTGCTCAACCTCCGAGGGTTGACTCGCTGATGCTTCGATATGTTTGGCTTCGATTCTGTCTTGGTGTTTCGACACGACAGGGGCGCTTAAATCAATTGTTTCCAACAAATCTAGCCTTGATAGTACTCTTGAAGCTTGAAAGGAGAAAGAGAGCCTGAAGAATGTTGATGAAGCTTTAACAAGTAGATAGGTAGCTCCTTGTAGAGCTTGTCCTTGAAGTAAACACAATTCTAGTTGTGTAGGAGAGCTTGTTAGGAGAACCAAATGACTTAGAGAAATCCCATTTCCAAATTGGTAAGTTGGAGTTGGGAAGTGAGGAATGAGCTTGAAAGCTTCAACCCCTTCCACAATACCCCTTGGGGCTCTTTCCAACCATGGCTTCCATGGTTGGGGAGCTTCTAGGCTTGGAGCCTATGTGGCATCTTTGTTTGGTTGAGAAAACCCAACGTAATTGTGTTGTATGGTTGTTTTGTTGTTTGGTTGGATTGTAACAACAACTGGCACAATGTGATTGGTTGGAAATCCAACCTTCCCAATCTTCACTTTGATGGGTTGGAAGTTTCCAAGCCTCAAGGTTGAGGGTTGGAAATTCCCAACCAGCATTTTCATATTCCAAACCTCCTCAACCCAATCTCTCGTCATTCAAACTTCTGTCGAGAAATGTCTCGACTTAGGACTGTTGGAAACAAGTGATTTAACGCTTCCTATGTGTTGTAACATCGAACCGTAAACGAGGCAAGCTACAGCGAAGCAATGGCGAGTCAACCGAGGAGGTTGACAGAAAAGTAACAGCCGGAGGTTATTCGAAGGTCAAAGGTCAGCGACCTTTGACTCGACAAATACAGCGCGACAGCAAGGACAAACAACTGACTCGATATCGAACCGCAACAGCAACAGCAACAGCAAAACGGTTATTGGATCCTTTCATATTCCTTGTAATCTTATAAAGGCTTGTATTACTTCTCTATAATCAATCTATCTTGCCCTCACATACCAGCGCAAGGTGGTTCAACAGCTTATCATTAAACGCTTCCGCAACTACAACATTCCTACTCAGGGTCTTAGCCTTGAAAGATCCTCAGGGCTTCTTCTCAGCCCAACAAGGACTAGGTCGACTTAGTAGCGAGTTAGGTGCGTTAGGTAGGTATGCGTTACACGAAGGTTGGGAGGAGCGAGCGGGGGCGCGCTCGACTACGCACTGCTGGCCGTGCGGCGTCTCCCATTGCGGGCGTGCAAGAGCGCTCTCGGGAGGCTCAGAGGAGGCTTACGCTGAGTGTCCGCGAGAACCGCCCCGACGGCGGATGCGCGCGGAGAAACAATATCGGCGAGGCTGGCGCGACGCCCGTTTCGTTCGTCGTGCGACCTGTGCGACCCGTGCGACTTGGGCAAGTGGACGTGTTCGTGCAACGTCCACTGCCCCTCCGCCGCAGAAGCGCCGGAATGCGGCGAAAGCACGAGGACTAGAAGCGCGGAGGCGAGGAAGAACGGCGCGGAGCAACGGGCGAGCAGCAGCCGCGAGCTAGCGGAAGTCGACAGCGACAGTCGCCGTGCCATGGCATTCCCAGAGTGTCACAAATTAATTCACCTCTGCAATTCAGCACCACTTCCGCCAAGCCATGGTTTTGCTCGCCATCAAACTACTAGGGGATGCAAAACTTGTAGTGTTCTACGAAAGGTCTACAACGGGCTAAATAGGTTAGGTTCGAGCTAGGCGAAGACAGGGGTAAAAGAGGCTCAGAAATGTGGCTGTGCGGTGGGGATACCGAAGTGGTTCGGGGCGAGAACGTAGGCCGAACCTAGCTGACGCGATACGCTCGGAATATCCCCGTCAAGGTCTACCAACAGTTAGGGTTAAAGTTCATTACACCTCCTATAATTTCCAAATTACCATGTACAACCCTCCAGACCAAATTGGCACCGTGAGTGAAAGTTCGTAACGTGTGCGACGCAGTTCGTACGATGACCACCTTTCACGACGTCGTACGAAATCAATGCGACGCAATGCAACCCGTAGGACGTCGCAAAAGGTTTGACGAACTCACTGACGACGTCTGACGACCTCTGTTACCAGCCCCAGTCCGAACGTCGGTAGTTCGAACCATCAAGCGGCAAAATGGTGCCGCGCCCTTATTTACCTAATTTACCCATCAGATCTCTGCAATGACCAAATTCTACCACTCGCGCAGGCGCTGTGTGACACACTACTCCCTCCGCCTATTTCTCTTTTCACGGTATTCCCGCTTGCTGAAGCCACAGCGTGGGTCGTTTGCACGCCAAGACCAGTTGCCTTGATCCGGTAACCACGGTCGTCATCGTGCGCTGCCTTCGCCTGCCACGCAGAGTGTGGGCGCTTGACCGCCGCGCACCTCGACACTCCTCGATCGCACACTCCTCGATCGCACGCACCGCGATCGCACGCACCTCCTGCGACCTGTAGCAGCTTGTAAGTCCCGTTTTTCCCCTCCGCCCCTCTCCGCGCCCTCATCCCTCCGCGCCCTCGCCTCTCTTGTTCATCGCCTGCCCCCCCTTGCCTCCCCTCCCCCCGTGCCCCGTTCTCTCCCACCGCCTCTCCTCATTCCTTCTCCTACCTTCCCGCCTTTTCTTCCTCAATCCTGCTCTACTTTTTCCTCCCTCCCATCCACCGCGCATTCTCGTCCTCCGTCCCCCGTCCCTGCCCCCTACAACGTTCACTTGCTTTGCAACTCTTCCCTGCCTACCTTCCTCCACCCGCCGCTCCCCACCTGCCCGTCCCTGCCGGCCTCTTCGTCTTCCTCCTGCCTTCCCTCCTTACTTCCCTTCCCCTTCCGCTCTGCCCACACCCCCCCTCCTCCCTCCCTGTCGGTTCTCCCTTTACCTGTCCGTGTTGTGGTGCCGCCTGCAGCAGCATCCTTGGTGGGGCAGGGTCAGGGTGAGCCACGTGTCAGGGCCATCCACGTCAGGGCCAGCCACGTGTTCACCAAGCGCCATATCGTTAATTGTTCCTCCATAACTTCCCCTACTCCTTCTCCCCCACTCGGTCTCCCCAACTTCCACCTCCCCTCTCTTCATCCTGCCTCCAGCAAGGGGGGCAGTGCACGGCTCGTGGGCAGGAGGTCACTTGAGCGCTTTCGACTTTTGAGTCGACCAAAAGACGTGTGTTCTGGCGCCACACGCGGCTCTGGCAGCATGCAGCCTCAGGTGCGGCACTCTGTGGTTGCATGTAACATGCTGCACTGGATTTCGGCGGGACAGGTGGGAAGTGGGACAGATGGGAAGGGGGACAGATGGGAAGGGGGACAGACGGGAAGGGGGACAGACGGGAAGGGGGACAGATGGGAAGGGGGACAGATGGGAAGGGGGACAGACGGGAAGGGGGACAGACGGGAAGGGGGACAGACGGGAAGGGGGACAGACGGGAAGGGGGACAGACGGGAAGGGGGACAGATGGGAAGGGGGACAGATGGGAAGGGGGACAGATGGGAAGGGGGACAGATGGGAAGGGGGACAGATGGGAAGGGGGACAGACGGGAAGGGGGACAGACGGGAAGGGGGACAGATGGGAAGGGGGACAGATGGGAAGGGGGACAGATGGGAAGGGGGACAGACGGGAAGGGGGACAGACGGGAAGGGGGACAGACGGGAAGGGGGACAGATGGGAAGGGGGACAGATGGGAAGGGGGACAGACGGGAAGGGGGACAGACGGGAAGGGGGACAGACGGGAAGGGGGACAGACGGGAAGGGGGACAGATGGGAAGGGGGACAGACGGGAAGGGGGACAGACGGGAAGGGGGACAGACGGGAAGGGGGACAGATGGGAAGGGGGACAGATGGGAAGGGGGACAGATGGGAAGGGGGACAGATGGGAAGGGGGACAGACGGGAAGGGGGACAGACGGGAAGGGGGACAGACGGGAAGGGGGACAGACGGGAAGGGGGACAGATGGGAAGGGGGACAGATGGGAAGGGGGACAGACGAGAAGGGGGACAGACGGGAAGGGGGACAGATGGGAAGGGGGACAGACGGGAAGGGGGACAGATGGGAAGGGGGACAGATGGGAAGGGGGACAGACGGGAAGGGGGACAGACGGGAAGGGGGACAGATGGGAAGGGGGACAGACGGGAAGGGGGACAGATGGGAAGGGGGACAGACGGGAAGGGGGACAGATGGGAAGGGGGACAGACGGGAAGGGGGACAGACGGGAAGGGGGACAGACGGGAAGGGGGACAGATGGGAAGGGGGACAGATGGGAAGGGGGACAGACGAGAAGGGGGACAGACGGGAAGGGGGACAGATGGGAAGGGGGACAGACGGGAAGGGGGACAGATGGGAAGGGGGACAGACGAGAAGGGGGACAGACGGGAAGGGGGACAGACGGGAAGGGGGACAGAGGGGAAGGGGGACAGACGGGAAGGGGGACAGATGGGAAGGGGGACAGATGGGAAGGGGGACAGACGGGAAGGGGGACAGATGGGAAGGGGGACAGATGGGAAGGGGGACAGACGGGAAGGGGGACAGACGGGAAGGGGGACAGACGGGAAGGGGGACAGACGGGAAGGGGGACAGACGGGAAGGGGGACAGATGGGAAGGGGACAGATGGGAAGGGGGACAGATGGGAAGGGGGACAGATGGGAAGGGGGACAGATGGGAAGGGGGACAGATGGGAAGGGGGACAGATGGGAAGGGGGACAGATGGGAAGGGGGACAGACGGGAAGGGGGACAGACGGGAAGGGGGACAGACGGGAAGGGGGACAGACGGGAAGGGGGACAGACGGGAAGGGGGACAGATGGGAAGGGGGACAGATGGGAAGGGGGACAGATGGGAAGGGGGACAGACGGGAAGGGGGACAGACGGGAAGGGGGACAGACGGGAAGGGGGACAGACGGGAAGGGGGACAGATGGGAAGGGGGACAGACGGGAAGGGGGACAGACGGGAAGGGGGACAGACGGGAAGGGGGACAGATGGGAAGGGGGACAGATGGGAAGGGGGACAGATGGGAAGGGGGACAGATGGGAAGGGGGACAGACGGGAAGGGGGACAGACGGGAAGGGGGACAGATGGGAAGGGGGACAGATGGGAAGGGGGACAGACGGGAAGGGGGACAGATGGGAAGGGGGACAGATGGGAAGGGGGACAGACGGGAAGGGGGACAGACGGGAAGGGGGACAGACGGGAAGGGGGACAGACGGGAAGGGGGACAGACGGGAAGGGGGACAGATGGGAAGGGGGACAGACTGGAAGGGGGACAGACGGGAAGGGGGACAGATGGGAAGGGGGACAGAGGGGAAGGGGGACAGACGGGAAGGGGGACAGATGGGAAGGGGGACAGATGGGAAGGGGGACAGATGGGAAGGGGGACAGATGGGAAGGGGGACAGACGGGAAGGGGGACAGACGGGAAGGGGGACAGACGGGAAGGGGGACAGACGGGAAGGGGGACAGATGGGAAGGGGGACAGATGGGAAGGGGGACAGACGGGAAGGGGGACAGACGGGAAGGGGGACAGACGGGAAGGGGGACAGACGGGAAGGGGGACAGATGGGAAGGGGGACAGATGGGAAGGGGGACAGATGGGAAGGGGGACAGATGGGAAGGGGGACAGACGGGAAGGGGGACAGACGGGAAGGGGGACAGACGAGAAGGGGGACAGACGGGAAGGGGGACAGATGGGAAGGGGGACAGACTGGAAGGGGGACAGACGGGAAGGGGGACAGATGGGAAGGGGGACAGAGGGGAAGGGGGACAGACGGGAAGGGGGACAGATGGGAAGGGGGACAGATGGGAAGGGGGACAGATGGGAAGGGGGACAGATGGGAAGGGGGACAGACGGGAAGGGGGACAGACGGGAAGGGGGACAGACGGGAAGGGGGACAGACGGGAAGGGGGACAGACGGGAAGGGGGACAGACGGGAAGGGGGACAGATGGGAAGGGGGACAGATGGGAAGGGGGACAGATGGGAAGGGGGACAGATGGGAAGGGGGACAGACGGGAAGGGGGACAGACGGGAAGGGGGACAGATGGGAAGGGGGACAGATGGGAAGGGGGACAGACGGGAAGGGGGACAGATGGGAAGGGGGACAGATGGGAAGGGGGACAGACGGGAAGGGGGACAGACGGGAAGGGGGACAGACGGAAGGGGGACAGATGGGAAGGGGGACAGACGGGAAGGGGGACAGATGGGAAGGGGGACAGACTGGAAGGGGGACAGACGGGAAGGGGGACAGATGGGAAGGGGGACAGATGGGAAGGGGGACAGACGGGAAGGGGGACAGAGGGGAAGGGGGACAGACGGGAAGGGGGACAGATGGGAAGGGGGACAGATGGGAAGGGGGACAGACGGGAAGGGGGACAGATGGGAAGGGGGACAGATGGGAAGGGGGACAGACGGGAAGGGGGACAGACGGGAAGGGGGACAGACGGGAAGGGGGACAGACGGGAAGGGGGACAGACGGGAAGGGGGACAGATGGGAAGGGGGACAGATGGGAAGGGGGACAGATGGGAAGGGGGACAGATGGGAAGGGGGACAGATGGGAAGGGGGACAGATGGGAAGGGGGACAGATGGGAAGGGGGACAGATGGGAAGGGGGACAGATGGGAAGGGGGACAGACGGGAAGGGGGACAGACGGGAAGGGGGACAGACGGGAAGGGGGACAGATGGGAAGGGGGACAGATGGGAAGGGGGACAGATGGGAAGGGGGACAGATGGGAAGGGGGACAGATGGGAAGGGGGACAGACGGGAAGGGGGACAGACGGGAAGGGGGACAGACGGGAAGGGGGACAGACGGGAAGGGGGACAGATGGGAAGGGGGACAGACGGGAAGGGGGACAGACGGGAAGGGGGACAGACGGGAAGGGGGACAGATGGGAAGGGGGACAGACGGGAAGGGGGACAGACGGGAAGGGGGACAGACGGGAAGGGGGACAGACGGGAAGGGGGACAGACGGGAAGGGGGACAGATGGGAAGGGGGACAGACGGGAAGGGGGACAGATGGGAAGGGGGACAGATGGGAAGGGGGACAGATGGGAAGGGGGACAGATGGGAAGGGGGACAGACGGGAAGGGGGACAGATGGGAAGGGGGACAGATGGGAAGGGGGACAGACGGGAAGGGGGACAGACGGGAAGGGGGACAGACGGGAAGGGGGACAGACGGGAAGGGGGACAGACGGGAAGGGGGACAGACGGGAAGGGGGACAGACGGGAAGGGGGACAGACGGGAAGGGGGACAGATGGGAAGGGGGACAGATGGGAAGGGGGACAGATGGGAAGGGGGACAGACGGGAAGGGGGACAGACGGGAAGGGGGACAGACGGGAAGGGGGACAGACGGGAAGGGGGACAGACGGGAAGGGGGACAGATGGGAAGGGGGACAGATGGGAAGGGGGACAGATGGGAAGGGGGACAGATGGGAAGGGGGACAGACGGGAAGGGGGACAGACGGGAAGGGGGACAGACGAGAAGGGGGACAGACGGGAAGGGGGACAGATGGGAAGGGGGACAGACTGGAAGGGGGACAGACGGGAAGGGGGACAGATGGGAAGGGGGACAGAGGGGAAGGGGGACAGACGGGAAGGGGGACAGATGGGAAGGGGGACAGATGGGAAGGGGGACAGATGGGAAGGGGGACAGATGGGAAGGGGGACAGACGGGAAGGGGGACAGACGGGAAGGGGGACAGACGGGAAGGGGGACAGACGGGAAGGGGGACAGACGGGAAGGGGGACAGACGGGAAGGGGGACAGATGGGAAGGGGGACAGATGGGAAGGGGGACAGATGGGAAGGGGGACAGATGGGAAGGGGGACAGACGGGAAGGGGGACAGACGGGAAGGGGGACAGACGAGAAGGGGGACAGACGGGAAGGGGGACAGATGGGAAGGGGGACAGACGGGAAGGGGGACAGATGGGAAGGGGGACAGACTGGAAGGGGGACAGACGGGAAGGGGGACAGATGGGAAGGGGGACAGATGGGAAGGGGGACAGACGGGAAGGGGGACAGAGGGGAAGGGGGACAGACGGGAAGGGGGACAGATGGGAAGGGGGACAGATGGGAAGGGGGACAGACGGGAAGGGGGGACAGATGGGAAGGGGGACAGATGGGAAGGGGGACAGACGGGAAGGGGGACAGACGGGAAGGGGGACAGACGGGAAGGGGGACAGACGGGAAGGGGGACAGACGGGAAGGGGGACAGATG